TTGCTATTCTTTGACAATTGTGTAACATGAAAGACAAGATTCTATTATCTCCTGTCACTGTCTTTTCCAGTAACCAAGACACAAAACCATCACTGGGTGTGAATAAATGACTTCCATATAAAATTGTGATAATACAATACTGGCCAAATGCCAAGAAGAACTTTTGATTAAGTAAAAAATGTAAGCATCAAAGTTCTAACTAAATTAACTTTTTTTTTTCTGTGTTAGAATTTCCTTCATTAAGTCACATCGTTGCAGGTTCCTCTATTCATCTCTGGAATATCTCAGGATGACTCTGCCTAAGACTAGGGTGTCATGAAGCATTACAGAAAAATGGGAGTTGTACCCTCTGGAATGGGCAAAAATTAGAAGGTTAGGAGGGATTAGAGAGGTTAAAGAAGATATTTTTTGACCCAATCCATCCCAGTAATTCCCCAGGTACTCTAAGCTGTTCTACAGAGTGTGCATACTGGGAACATCAAACAATAATGAACATCAAAACATTCTTAGCATGGAAATAAAGTGGAGAAAGCTGTATTTCCAGAATTATGCTTCTAAACTTTCAGGAGATGAGGAGTAAGTTTCTCAAAAGTTGTGCTCAAGATTACTGTCTGTCTTCTAAGGGATAGACCCATTTAAATATGGGGAAGGGTGAGTCCATTTGGGACAGGATTATTTGTTTGACACTGTCTTGCATAACTGCCTTTTTTCTCTGCCTTTCTCCACCAAGCATTCATTATTCTTGAAAAAAAGTAATGAGCAAATATTTGATAAATATAGGGTTACAGAATAGCTAAATTCTAACGTACAGAATGGATGACTATGGGGCCTGGCACGATAGCCATAGTGGTGAAATCCTCACCTTGCACACACTGGGGTCCTATATGGGCATTGGTTCATGCCCTGGCTGCTCTGCTTCCCATCCAGCTCCTGCTTGTTACCTGAGAAAGCAGTGGAAGATGGCCCAAAATCTTGGGACCCTTCACCCACGTGGGAGACTTGGAAAACGCTCCTGGCTCCCAGCTTTGGATCGTCTTAACTACAGCCATTACAATTATCTGGGTAGTGAGCCAACAGATGGAGGATCTTTCTGTCCTTCCTTCTCTCTCTAAATTTGACTTTCAATAAAAATAAATCTTTTTTAAAGAAGAAAAAAAATGGATGACCCTGGGCAAACACCAGGCAAGGATTTTCTAGGTTGACCTTTCAGCATGTGCTGCCTCCCATTTGGCGCCTTTCTCCACCACAAATTCCTGTGGTTTTGGATGCCCAAGAGGCCCCACACATCCCTTGTTCTTGGTTTGATCAGTTTGATCCAAAGAAAAAAAAATCTTATGAACAGACATATTTGAAAACTCATAAAAAAGCCTCAGCATGGCTCCCAGGCTCTGTGCCCAAACTGTTGGCTCTAAGCTCCATGGTCCCCAAAATACCCTGAGTGATTTCTAATCACTATCCTCCATCTTGGCAGGAAAATAAGACACTGAGTTCAACTAAAACTTCAGAAATATAAAACCTGATTCCTAGCTCTAGTTTAGTTACCAAGTTGCTGTAGTAACTCATATGCCCTACTGCCTTCCACTTGTGGTAGGGTTGGGATCCTATGACTAGTACTTGTCACTGAAGTATGAAAAGAAGTAACCTACTTCACTTTCAGGCTGCAGTCTGTCCTTCCGCATCCCTGTGACTACAAAGGCCTCAAGTTCCAGATGTCATATTTACAAAATGGAGGTAGATCACTGAATCATTCCTAACTGTGATGTGAAAAATGTACTTCCATTGTGTTAAGTCACTAATATAGATGATGATTTTGGTTTGTCTGGTGCCACCTGCATTAAGTCTGGAGCATCCCCCCACCTGTTCTGCAGTTTCACTTGCTACTGTTACACATCATCAACCACAGCCTGAAAATATTAACTAGAAAGTGGTATTTATTTTCCATCAACCTCATTTCCATGTCTGCTTCAGAGACTGAAGATCAGCTTAAGACCGCTCAGTGGTAGTTTCTATCCATGCAGTGACCTGAGCTGTATGGGCTGCAGACCAGTCTTCAGTGGCAGGCTGAGCCCTGCAGTCTTCAAGGGGAAACTGTTGAATAGGCACGGAAGGCACCCACATGGCTTCAGACCAGTCTGCAACCTCAGACTGAGTATCAGTGAACTCAGACACTGGAGCAGTCCTTTTACCCTGAAATTCCTCCTTGGTCACAGCTTTCTCAGAGGCAGCCTGATCTCCTTTTTCAGTCTCCTCAGGGTCTCAGTAGAGATCAGGTGTGATCTCCCACAGGAGTTGAGAGAGTTGGTACCAGGCACCCACCACATCAGATCAGTGGGCTCCTGTATTGTTGCATGAGATGGCAATGTCCACAAAGTGCAGAGAAGAGTCTGTGTAACAGAGTGGTGGTAGGCAGGTTCACATAATACATCTCTATGAAAGGCTGGTGGTCAGCCCTGGAATCAGTAACCACCGGGTTACGTGGCTCCCGGAAGGCTGCCTGCATCTGGTGAAGGAAGATTCCAAGAGCAAAGTGGCCAACAACATGAGTAGCTCCAGTGGCAACAGCAGACTTCAGCACAGCCCTTTGGCTAGTGTTCCTGGAAGATATCACACTGATGTCAGCAGTATTTTCAATGACAACAACAGCACATTCTGTCAACAGAAGCTTCTCCCAGGTCCTCTTGAGTACATTCCTTTTATGGATGTACTGTTCCATCTGGAAGTCAAGGTTGGTGCCACCTAGATGGGTTCCTGATGCAAGGAATTTGAAGACATCCTCCTCTTTCATTTGCAGGATGTCAATGGCTCTGAACATCGTGTCAGCTTCCCTTTAAGTTAAGGCAGGAATCAAAACAATGCTATATGGACCCCCTAGCCTGATAGCACAGATAAGCTTACATAGATATCTTAAGAGAAACTACAGCCACACAATTGTTATAGCAATTATAAAAATTTTTTTAATTATTATTTTGTTGATCTTTTATGGCATCTAATTTATAAATTAACTATTACTATGAGTATATGCAAGAATATTGCAAAAAGTTCATGAAAAAAACAAAAAGATAAGTTGATTTTGGTACAGCTCAAGCACAACTTCAAAAAACTCATGGAAAATGTATATTATAAGAAAAATATGTATGGATTTTTTTTTCACCCAAATAAGCTTATTTCATTTTTCTGCGAACATTTTGAAGTCCCTTCTTTGGATGGAGGAAACACCATTTTGAATATTGGGGTCAGTGCACGCCAAGGTTTCAAGTATCTGCTGGGAATCTGGGAATGTGACCCCATGGGCAAGGGGGACTACTATAGCCAGATAAGTGTGTTCCAGCTCTGGTTTTCATTCTTCTCACTTAATTGAAACTGTTCCTCTTGAACAACCTCTCCCTACTTCTCCCTCAAAACCCTGCCCCTGCCACCCTGCCACCCCACCCCAAGTCCCTGTTAAACACCATTCTACTCTCTGGTTTTACAATTTCCACTCTGTTAGATTTCACAGTAAATTAGATCGTGCAGTTATTTATCCTTGCTGTGTCTAGTTTTTTTCAAAATGCCCTCCAGATTCATTCATATTGTTGCTATTGGTAAGATTTCCTAAAAGGCTAAATAATATCCCACTCTGTATATATATTACATTCTCTTTAACCATCAGTCAACTGATGGACATTTAGATGGCTCTCCATATTTGGACTATTTTTAATAACACTGAGATAAACGTATGAATGCAGATACTTTGTTGAGATTTTGATTTATTTTCATTTGGTTAGATTCCCGGAAGTGAGATTGTTGCATTGTAAACTGAGCAACCTCCCACTTGTTTTTCATAATAGCTATACCAATTTATATTCTCAATAACAGTCTACAAAGATTCCCTTTTCTCCACACATTCAGACAAGACCTAGTCTATTTTTTATTTTGGTTAATCATTTTAAGAGGTGGATGGTAATATCTCTTTACAGTTTCCATTTGCATTTTCCTGATCAGTGATAAGTACTTTTTCTTATGTGGTTGCCATTTGTATGGCTTCTTTTTTAAGATTTGTTTATTTACTTGAAAGAGTTACAGAGGGAGAGAGAGACAGAGAGAGAGAGAGAGAGAGAGAGAGAGAGAGAGAGAGAGAGAGAAAGAAAGAAAGAAAGAAAGAAAGAAAGAAAGAAAGAAAGAAAGAAAGAAAGAAAGAGATGAGAGAGATTTCATTTGCTAATATGAAGCTTCATCTGGTCTCCCACATGAATTACATGGACTTAAACCTTTGGGTCATCTTCCACTGATTTTTCCAGGCTATTAGCAGGGACTTGGAACAGAAGTGGAGTAACCTGGATTGGAATTTGTGCCTAAATGGAAAGTTGGCATTGCAGGAAGTAGCTTTATCCACTTTATCACAACCCTAGTCCCTGTATGTCTTCTTTTGAGAAATAGCTATTCAATTCCTTTTTTAATCAGGTTATATGTTTAATATTTATTTTATTTATTTTAAAGGTAGAGTTACAGAGAGAGAGGGAGAGACATTTTGTTGCAACGATCAAGGCTGGGCAAGACTGTAGCCAGAAACCAGGATCTTCCAGGTCTCTCATATGAGTGCAGGGGCCCAAGGACTCAAACCATCCTGAGCTGTTTTGTCAGGTGCATTAACAGGAATCTGGATCTGAAGTGGAGCTACTGGGACATGAACAGATGTCCATATGGGATGCCAACACTGCAGGGAGACACTTTGCTCACTACACCAGAATGTCAGCTCCTGTAAGTCTTCTTTTAAGAAACAGCAATTCACATCCTTTGCCTACTTTTTAATAAGGCTATTTGGGATTTTTTTTCCCTATTTCCCCATGTTGTGTTTTCAGCACACTTTATCAAAAATCAGTTTGCTATAGATGATGCATGATTTTGGTTCTGAACTCTTTATTCTGTTTTATTGCCCTATGTCCATTTCATGGTAGTATTGTACTATTTAGATTACTGTTAAGTTTGTAATAAAATTTGCAGTAAGGAAGTGTAATACTTAAAACTTTATGTTTCTTGTTCAAGCATTCTTTGGTTATTTGGGATCTTTTGTGGTTCCATATGCATTTTAGGATTACAATTTCTGTTTCTGTAAAGAACAGTAAGAGCTGGGACATTCGACTTAGGGGTTAGAATGCTGGCTATGACATCTGTATCCCACCTATATTTAACGTTCTGCTTCAGTTCCTAATTCCAGCTTCCTGCTATTACAGATCCTAGGAAGGAATGGTGATAGTTGAATTAACTGGTTTCCTGCCACCCATGTGAGACCCCTGAGTCAAGTTCCTAGCTCCTTCAACTCTACAGCCATTTGGGACTTCAAGGGAGTGAACCAGCAAATGGGAGCTGTCTATTTGTCTCTATCTCTCAAATAAACAAATAAGTTCATTAGTGTCTTAAAAGAGAACTGTATGATAAGTTTAATTCTTCCAATGATGGAGGATTCATTTACCTTGAGAGAAATTGCCTTCCATGAGGGCAGTTACAAAAAAACTTTTCTTTCACTATCTAATTAACTCACAATTTCTGTATGCTGTTTAATTTTTAAAACAAATTATTTTATCTTTTAAAAAGTTGATTTTGTTTTTATTGGAAAGTCAGATACACAGAGAGGAGGAAAGACAGAGAGTAAAATCTTTTGTTCGTTGATTCACTCCCCAAATGGCCACAATGGCCAAAACTCCTCCAATCCAAAGCCAGGAGCCTGGAGCCTCTTCAGGCTCTCTCACACAAGCACAGGATCACAAGGCTTTGGGCCATCCTTAACGGCTTTCCCAAGCTGCAAACCGGGAGCCGGATGGGAAGCAGGGCCACCAGAATTAGAAATAGTGTCCATATGGGAGCCCAGTGCGTGCAAGGTAAGGACTTTAGCCATTAGGCTACCATGCCAGGCCCCTGTTTAATGTTTAAAGCAATAAGAATAAGTCTACTTTTTCTCCAGGTGACAACTTTTCAGATAATTGAAGACAATTGATGATTTTTCTTTAGACTTCCACTTTGCAACTTATATCTATTCAGTTTCTTCTATAATGACTCATTCGGTGTACTATTTCAAAAGAAGACTTAAAGAAAAAAATAATGAGGCAAATATGCCAAAGGTTAATATTGATTTATCATATTTGATTCTGAGTGTCCTGTGGCAACCAAGACAAAATGGAAAATAAAACTATTTTATATGGCTCTCAATATCAGGAAAATGAGACATCAAAGATTTTGTTTCCAGACCTTTTTTGCCATTTTCATTATCTTTTTTCCAAACGAATCTAACTTATCATTATCTTCCCTACCCTTCCATAAGCAGAAATGAATAGTTTTCCAAGAAGAAGCTTGTGAAACTATAAGTTGGTTTTATATACAAAGCTATTTCCTGTAATATTTTTCATGGACTAAGAATGTACAGAGTGCTGCCCTGTATTATCTGTAATTCTCACAATGGCCTTGTAAAGAAGATATAGATCCTATTTCATAATGAGTAGACAAATAACTTATTCAAGGTTACATTATTATTACAAATCCAACTCTATCTGGATCCAAATTATTCATTAATCAATGATAAAATCTGAACTGAAAGCATTATACAAAGGTGCCTCAATAAAAACCACAGGCATATTGAGTCAGAGGGAGAAAATGGTTGAATATTTTGGATCTGACATTTTCTTAAAAACCAACACTAGTGACTGTTTTCATCTCCTCCCGGCATCTTAAGGAATCACAGAAGCATATGTGAGCTGGGGGTGGTTTTGTTTTGTACACTGCAGCAATTACTCATTTTTTTGGGACACACTCAGCACAAACTGGATTTGGATCTACCAGGATTTGTCTAACACAGGTGTTTAAGGACTAATTCAAGTTTGAGTTGGCAGAGTAAGGATTCAATATGGTGGTTTACATCAGCAGAAATGTATGAGAAATATATTAAACACTGCAGTATGCAGCAAGAGAATGGGGAAATGATTTCCTAGTGACCAGAGACCCTTAATGCTAAATATTTGTTTTTCTCTATTCCCGGGGCTATTCACACAGTATTTACGTTTTGATACCTTCTCAATTACCAACCGTGTCCCAAGCCACGACCCTGATCTATACTATCTTCTACACTCTCACAAAGAGACAACGTTAGAAATAGTTTTGTCATGCCACATTCCAGTTTACAAATTTCTATCAATTTCCATTGGTCAAAGATCAAGTTAAAAATCCTACAGCAGGAGCAAGCATTGGTACAGCAATTAAGACAGCACTTGATATACCAACATCACATAGCAGAGTGCTCCTCTGCTCCTGACCCAGCTTTCTGGGAGATGGCAGGTGATGGCTAAAGTACTTGGCTCTACCACTCACATGGGAAACCTAGCCTGGGTTCAAAGCACCTGGCTTTGGCCTCACCCAGCTCTGCTTGTAGCATACATTTTGAGAGTGAACCAGCAGAAGGAAGATATCTGTGCATTGTCTATGTCTGTCTTTCTGTCTCTCAAATAAATGAAAATACCTAGTCAAGTAAGTAATTTTAAATCCTGAAACATAATGCAAGAGATACCTTACCCTTTGATATTGATCTGTCACACCAATTCCATTTCCCCTTTCTTTCTCCATGATACCCTAAGCCCAAGCCACAACAAATCTCGCAGCATTCCACATCATGGTTTTCCCTCACCTAGGAAGCATCTATTCATTTTTTAAAGACCCTACTTAAAATTTGCCTATCCTATTATGATCAGTTTGATTGTCCTTGTTGCAACTAGTTGCTTCCTCTTCTGGGATCATAGTCTCTTATTTTCCGAGAAGCATGTACAACTCATTTAACACTTCTTTCTACTCCAACTTGATTCATTTAGGACATTCAAGACACATTGTTCAAATATTTGTCTTCAAAGTCTGCACAAAGAAAGTCCTCAGTAAATATTTGTTGAATGAATGTCCTCATCACAGTGGTTAAACTGTGTTCATGAGCAGGAATTGACAGCCATAAACTTTGTAACTAAAACTGAACTGTGAATGAAGTTAGTCCAGATCAAGAATTAGTAAATGACAGCCATTATTTATAGAAGTAACACAACTCCAAAACTGTGTTTGAAGGCTACCCAAAATGTATAATTATACTGATCCAGATAACCTTAGAAAAGAACTGCGTAGACTATGACTGCTATAACATTTATGACAAAACTAGTAAAAATTATGATCCAATTAAAACCGATGCAGCTATGAGTAAAGAAGAGCAATTAAAATCGCTCACAGGGTAAGCATTTGGCCCCAGCAGTTAAGATGTTGCTTAGGATATGCACATCCCATATCAGAGTGCCTGAGTTTGAGTTCCAGCTCTGCTCCTGATCCCTGCTTCCTGCTAATGCACACCAAGGGAGGCAGCAGGTATGGCTCAAGCACTCGGGCCTCCCTGTGGAGGAGTCAGATTGAGTTCTAGGCTCCTGGTTTCAGCCTGGGCCAGTCCCAGCTGTGGTGGGCATTTAGGGAGTGAACCAGTGAATGGAGGACCTCTCTCTTTTTCTTTTGCTCTTTCAAATAAATAAAAAGTAACTAATTTTTAAAAACACGAATAATACAACCATTCAGAGAAAGCTATTGTTAACATATTAGTATATTACTTCCACATGAGACAATACATTGTGTGACTCTGAGGTCAGGAACATGTGCATTCCATTCATATGGCACGTGCTTTCTTCTGATACAGGTGAATGCCTCAAGTGCATGGTGTTTGATGGTTCTGATTCTCATGATCATCCATCTTCCCTGCCCCTGGATCTCTGCCTGTTCAGTCTGCAAGGCAAGCATGGCCTTGGCCTGTCAACAGCCTGAGGCTCAGTAGTTCTCATTGTCAGTTTTGTCATTCTGACCCATACATTATAATTTGGTGTAAGCCTTAGGCATCAAGTTTTCAAAAACAGTTGTATGAGAGGTAGAATGTTGAAACAATGTGATCTCTATGGTGAAACCTCTTTTGGGGGGAAAAGAAACCCCATACCTCTACAGGAATTTTCCTTTCCTCTCTTTTGAACTAAGATCTTCTAGGGGTTCCGAGAAAGCTACTGTCGCTGCCAAGGCAGAGTTATATGGTCCACAGGCTGTAGAAAGTGAGTGGAATAATTTGGTCTGACCCTAGCAAGGCAATCACAGGCTCAAAATTCAATAAATCTAGAGCAGGCTGATTTTTAGGTAGGTAATTTTGTGTGGCTCATGAATTTCCCTTGGCAGAAAAAAGGGTTCCCCACTTCTGACTGGTTTTCTAGCAACTCAAGCTGAGGCATCGTCTCTGAGAATAGAACTTGGCCAGAGACCCTCCAAATCCAGTCAAAACCAGCTGGACTCTCCTGAAAATGATAAGAGCCCTGTCAAGACTTAATGTGCAGTCACAGCTCCAAATTCTGCCCAAAGTGCTCCTGGAACCAGAAACAAACAATGAATTCAGAATTCATTCCAGGTCATGCTCTAATCAGAAAGGGCTTCCTAGAAAAAAGAGGAGTTCAAACAGAGCAAAAGAAGTTGCACAGCAAGCAGGGAGAAGCTGTGCACATTGCTTGAGTCCATGAAGCATGCTTACCTCTGACTGCCTTTTTACTGTAACTCAAAAAGCAAAAGTCGGCTGGAAAATGCCATCTCAAAACATGATGGACCCCACTGGTCTTGCCCCACAAGAGGTCAGGGTTTTCTCTGGCACTAGAGAGACACTAGGATGACTTCCCGCATACCAGAGGGTTGGTAGAGGATTCTGGGGTCGCAATCCAGTGCATGCTGATGGAACCAGAACCTGAAAACTCAAAGGCCACTATTTTTCACAACATTTTTATTTCTGGATCCATATCAGGATGGGGGCACACCTGCTACCTGACATTTCTTAGGTTTACCCTTGCCTTGGCCCATGCTCCTAAAACTCTCAGGAATATTCTCAGTAAAGTGGTTTCTAAAAACACGAGCTGCACACCTGGTAAGTCCAGCACAAGCTCACCTCCAACCCCAAGAGAAAGTGCACTGCGCTTCATGGCTACCCCCACATTCCCAGCTCCCCACACATCCACATCTCTGACTATCAGAAGGTAGCCTGTTTTAGCTTCTTGGGTCCTCTTTTTGTCTCAATAGCATCTCCAAGAAGCCTGGGAAGACACAGAGATTAGAACAGAATCTTGGGAGGGAAAAAGATGCCAAGCTGGAGCCAAGCTACAGAGATTACTTACACACGTGAGCAGTGAAATGTGTCCAGGTGAGCAGACTGCTGAGCTCTGTCAGTGACAAATGCAGCTGCAAGCATGCTGATAAAATGCAGGCAATTTTGAGTTGATGTTTCTGTTTCAAAAAAAGGGAAAAAAGCACATTTGAACTTCTCTCCGTCTTTCTGGATGCAGCATTAGCTGGCTTCCTCCACAATAAGCCCCCAAATAGAAAGAATGCGTGAGAGGTGGGTGCATTGAGGACAGTCCAACAACAAAATTAGAACCAAGTCCTGGGAGGCAAAAGAACCCTAGGCTTTTCACAAAATCTGCTCTCCAAATCAGACTCCCAAAGCACTGCTCTTTTGTTAAACTGGCAACGGTTGCCACTGAGAACCTCAATACCATCTCACACTTGTCAATCTGAGTAGCTTGGCAGTAACTAAACCTGTTTTCAAACTGGTGTTTGTTGCTCTCCCCACTCCTGTAATCCACCCTCCTCAGACCTCTTTCATTTTCATTTACCTCTCACTTGGCCTGTTTGTCACATATTTGGAGGCCAGAAGCCAACAAAAGAAAAAGAACGTAACATGCATATGGCTTTTATTTCTCTGCTGTCAACGATGTGAAACACATCAGTCTTGGGAGTCATGGGGGCTATGAAGCTGAAGTGGGTGAGGTGTAAACAGGAACCCTGGACTGGCAGGGAGAGATTAGTTGGGCTTCAGGGTGCTCAGATCTCATTTCTGGGCTCAATGATTCTCTCCATCTGGTTTGCTGATATGTGATTCTCATCTTTCAAGCTGGGCCCAAGTGTCAAAATGATTTTCTTGCTCTTCTCTTGATGGAATTCTTATTAGCAGGCAGTGACCTTTGTGTGAAGGTGACCTCAGATAGGATAAAATTCTCCCTGTCAATTCTTGCCCTTTGAACTGGAGGAGCTAGTCAGGTAGAGTTGGGTGTTAAGGGACTTGTTTGACTCAACAAATCCAGGAAACTCAGCAGTCAGGGATGTTGCTACAGAAATTAACCCACTTAAAAACTAGAAATTGGAGGGCAATGCAGTTTCCAGTTAAATAACTTGCAAGCAAGCCCATAATAAGGACATAAGCTTTTCTTCCTGCTCCCTCCCCCAAAAAGTGCTTACATACTCCACCATATTAGGCAAACTTATGATTATGAAATCATATACTTTTTGTTCTAAATAGCACATATAACTGAGTGAAATTGAAGAGTATGTTATGGGAATCAGCATGAAAGTTTGGATTTTTTTTTTTTATGGTTTTCACTATTTACAAAAATCTTTTTGAAAAGACTATTTAAAATTGCCTACTGTGGGGTAGGCATTTAGCACAACAGAAAACATGCCACTTGGAATGTCTAGATTTCATGTCGGAGTACTTAGGTTCTAGTTCTGGCCATGCTTGCAAATTTGTAGCTTCCTGGTAGTGTGAAACTCTGGGGTGTTGCAGGCCAGGTACTCAGGTCCCTGCCATCCACATGGGAGACCCAGTTGGAGTTGCAGCCTTCTGGCTTCAGTCTGGCCCAACCCTGCCAATTGAGGGCATTTTCTCTCTTTCTCTCTCCTTATGTGGGATCCTGGAGCATTCAAGGCAAGGACGTTAGCCACTAGGCCACCATGCCGGGCCCCAGAATTCTTAAAAAAAAAAAGCTAAAATATATAATGGATATATAATTATGGATAACAATGTTGCTAAATAATGCCCTTGCACAAATTTCCAGTTGCACATGTAAGGATGAAATAATAGTGTAACAGTAAAATTATGGGCCTGAGAACTAACCTGAGCACATGCAAATGTGCCCATCAGGGCAGACTTTATGTCACTTGATTTTAAAAGTTGTGACATGGAGTTTATTATGCAGGAACTTCCAGAGTAGAAACATCACAAACGTGTGCAAAAAATTTTAATGTGATCCTCTGGCATAAAGCAGAGAACAAATGTGAAAATCAGGAATCATCAGGATAGAGCCAGTTGTCTCTACCATTGCTAAATGCTTGGCAGTGCAGCTCTGTGCTGCTCCAGAATCAGTTTGGAAGGTTGGGCACTCATCATATCAATAGGAAAGATTTACACTAAAAATAGAACACTGTAAATACATTTGGCCAACAGAGCTCATGGAATAAAACAATTTAAGAACTCCAGAAGACAATAATTATTACTGCCATGTATCTTCAGGCATCTATCCATACTTTATATAGATATATAATTATATTAGTCATCATTATGAACATTTAAATTGTTTACATTCTATTCCAATGCAAATATTATGTATATCTGTATATATGAATACATGCACATATGCAGATGGTTGTAAGTAATGTATGGGGTGCTTTGGTGTTTTGTAAATATTATCTCTAACCCTTCACATTTTAAGGATTTAATTATTTACGTATTTTCATTTGTAAGTCAGAGTGACAGAGAGAAAGAAAGAGAGATTTTACAAGTGCTAGTACATATTTCAAATGCCTATAACAGCCTGGATTGGGCCAACCAAAACTAGGAGCCAAGAGCTAGAAACTCTGTTCTAGTCTCCCAAGCAAGCATCAGGGACCAGGGTACTTATTTCTTCCCAAGGTACATATTAGCTGGAAGCTGGATCAGAAACAGAGGTGTTACTCAAACCTAGGTATTCATATATGGGAGGCAGGAATCCCAAGCAACACCTAACACAAAACATTAAAATGTGATCTTCTGCATTAGACTGATTTAATACAATTAAATTCACTCCAAAGGTAGCTCTAATGTGCGTATCAGTTTCCTGGTATTAATTTAGGACATCAGTTGTCTTATAAAGCAAGTATCCACATAAGCTGTCATCATCACAACTTTTAAATGAAAATATACATGCAAATGCAAAAAGAATTATTTGTATTTGTTGTTGCCTTTTAAGAAATAGAACAATGTATTTTAAGCAACTATTAATTTTTTGTTTGTGTTTACTATTATGGAGATACAATGTGAAGTTTAAAAATGTGTAAATTGTGGCATGAGCATATCTGTTAGCTAGTACATCCATCATTTTTAAGATTTATTGCTTCTTGTGGTAAGAAAATTTAAAAGCCTTTTGGCTCTTTGAAATAGATAATTCATTACTATTAACTGGAGTCACCTTACTGTGTAATACTTAGCACAACTCATTCCACCCATCTAACTGTAGCTTTGTGCCCAGTGACCAAGGTTGCCCCCTTTCCATTAACTTACTTAGTTAATTATTTTTTGTACTTAACTTAAATTACAATATTGAGTCTTCCTCTTATAGCAAGCAGTTAGTCTCACATTTTATTTTTATTTTGGTGTGCTAAATACTTGGTCAAAGTATAATAGGTCAATTTGTCCTCACACTGCTAGCTAAAATTATTTCTGATGTCCCCTAGTCAAAGCAGGATTCCCTGTAGTCTGTTTTGAGGACTGAAGGTAGCATTCAAGAAGAGAAATCAGATCCACAGCAATTTACAATGCTTAAACATATTTATTGTGGATGTTGCTATTCCTAGCATTTTTCAAATTAATACTTCAAAGCTGTATGGCTTTATGAGTAAGGACTAGAAATATTTAATCAGGATTTTTTTATAATCTCTTACATGTCTTTAAAACATAATGCAGAAATTTTATGGCAATGAGTTTAAAAGCTACTATCAGCAATGAGGATTATTATAATATTAATTGAACTTCCATTTCTGCAGTTCAATGCAGTTCCAGAACCAAAAAAAAAAAAAAAAAAATGACCAAAGTCAGACCACAGGAAGAACAGAAATGACTAGTTGGCAATATTACCTCATTAACTAGATACAGACAGGTTTAAAGAACACACTTATCTCTTGCCAGTGCAGCCTTTTGGGCCTGTTCACATCCTAATCTCCCATTTGTGAGGGCTTCTATAAAAGAGAACATGATTCATACACATATAAATGATGGTACTAAGGACAAAACCGACCCTTTAACGTGTCTGTGTGTTCCTAGTCTCTGGCTGATAAAATGCAGCAACCCATAGAAGTTATAAGTTCATCCATCAATGTCCTGCCTGCCTTTCCTGTGTCTTCTCCTTTGCTAAGCAGGGTTAGCAGGTGATGCTTTTTTTCTGGCCGGTAACATAGGCCCAGAAAATGCAGAATACTGTATCTCCAATGAGCAATGCACCAGGGACAATACTGTGAATCAATTAGATATACTTCATATTTGAAATTAAGTTACCTGACTTCCAACATGTCTTCTGTCCCCATAGAATGATGTATTTGTCTTCTTGGTCATTTGGCAGAAATTGGGCTAACTGGAGTTGAAGCCTGTTCTCTGACTCTAACGAATTAATCTGTCTTAGCAACTACTTTATTATCCCAGCCCCTGAGCAGAAGGGCCTTACTTGTCTTTGCCCTAGATTATACTGGAGTCTTGCAGATTTTATTACATTTCTGCAAATCTGAAACTATAAGGAGGATGCAGCTAACTAAGTAAATATCTTCTTAAAGCTGCTACGAGGCTTTGGGGAAGGGTGGGTGGGAATAAAACTGCAGGGTAAATGATGTATATACATATATATCAGTTTATCTTTATATCATGATGCAAATTATAAATATGTTAAATGTGAGGAAATGACACAATTGGCTGCAGGTTCTGATCAAGGCAGCAAAAATGTGCATTAAAAGTTAGTAGGGAGCTAGCATCTTTGGTCAATACAGGAAATAAATATTAAATATTCCATCAATGCCTATGGAGGATCACTATGGACAAAGCACAGTACAGAGTGCTGAGAGAAGTCATCATTTTAAAAAGGCACCAAGCTCTTTTCCACAGTCTAAATGGAGAGATTACAAAACCAATCTGGAATTCTTAAGAAGTATTGCTTTATTGAACCAAGAGGTCATTCATGAGGTGAATTTTAAAAACCTGAAAAGCTGAATATATCATGTTCCATGGTCATGTTATCAATTTTCCATTGCCATTTATGACCTTGGGACAATTAGTTCAGAAGAATCCACTTATAGTAGACTTTGTGTGATATACACTTATTTTTTAAAACTTCCAAAGTCTATTGGAATTTAGGAAAACCTGACCAAAAATGAATATTTCAACATTCTAATCCTGCTCAATGCTTTCTCTGATTCAAATATGCAGCATT